TATATATATATATTATTTTTTTATGGTGGCATTACAAATATCTTCCAAACAGCTGTGGAGCAGATTTGTCCATTGATGATGTAAACGTACCTTTTCGCTTTTCTTAACCCAAAAGTGTACTTGAATAGTTTAGTTTAATGCGGTGGTCCAAAAATTTGCATGAAGATCTAGATCTTGGGTTATGATTTTGATTTCCAATAAAAAGAAAAACAGATTTAACATAGTAATTATTATTTATTACCAAGTCAATTTTGAATGTGCATATAAAATCAAATTTAAAAACTGATTTGATATATTAGTGTGTTGAACTAAATTAATTAAATTCCAACTAAATATAAAAATAATTTTAAAATGTTTTTTAAATTATTTTTTAAAATTGAATCCTAACAAAAATAATATAGTAAAATTTGATATAAAAATAGAAATATAATTTTTTAAAATAAAGATTAGATAAAATATATTAATCTACAAATACTATATAAAAATAAGTATTTTGGATTTCGATTTAGATTCAATTTGGTTATATCCTGGTTTGAATTCGGTTCGGTTTTGATTTAGGGTTTTATTTTCTCTTAATAAAATATTCATTTTAAAAAATTGAGTTTTTAAAATGATTTTTAATCAGTTCAGTTTGAATTCAATTTTATAGATTTAAAAAATAATTATTTGGTTTTTTCTATTAGATTTAGTTTGATTATAGTTATGTATTATTTCATTTGAATCGGTTAGGTTAGTTATTAATCAAATTATGTATTCTAAAAATTTTGAATGTCAATATTTGTGGATATTTGAAATTTAATCATCGGATTAACACTTTCAAAAAAAATTTAGATTTTCAATTACTTAATTTCTATAGTGTGTTATTCCCAAGTTTCATGGAATCCAATAATTGTAAATTATTGAGGAGGTCCCACAAGAAATGCGTTATGTCAATATCTATAATAGAAAAATCAACCAATAAAAATGCCACAAATATGCCTAATGAACGGGAATATACAATTGTACGTATATAATCTTTCTGTTGAATTTGTAAAGGAAGACCACGATGACATCTCCCCTTGTTGATAACCCAAGCGGGCAAACACCCACATGAAGACGTGTTGATTCCGGAGTCCGGTTATATATATATATATGGACGAAATTGCATAATAAATATCGGTATTAGATTGATGATTTAACCAATTATATTTATATGGTCGAAATTATCGGATCCATTGGTAATCTGTATAATTTGCACAACTTCCTTTTGTTTGTGTTTTTACTGCTAAATCTTCAAATCGAATAACGTAAACACGTTATTATATTAATTATACCAATATTCAAAATGGCTACTTAGCGAAAGCGATCTCAAAATTAAAACTATGGGGCGGCGTCTTTGGAAAAAAAAAGAAAAAAGAAAAAAAAAATCTTACATCTCTCATGTCTCTGTCCGATGCGACACTCCAAACTCATAAGCCATAACTTATTATATATATATATATATATATATATATATATTATATAAAGTGGTATACAATTTGGTTTGTTGTATTGTAAAAAGACAAAAACATGGAGGGTCATATAATTAATATTACAATATGGGGTGTAATTTAATAAACATCAAGAAAAGGGGGCGACTCTTCGAGGGATGAAGCAGCAGAAGGTGACGCGGCGGAGCCTGAAAATCTGGCCGAGTCGAATCGGGTATGACTCGCCGGGACAGTCTGGCCATTCGGACAAGTCAGTGGCATGTGGGTCCCACACTCCGGCTCACGTGGTCACGTGCATCTCTGCCTGACTTGTGGTTGTGGCGGCCACGACCTGTCATTTTTTTTTCCTTTACAATGGATACATTGTATGTGTAAAGCCCTAAACTGGTGCATATAAAATGATATAACGTACATCTATTTGTGCATATTATGTAAAATGGTGGGTCCAAAATTAGTTTAATACTGAATGTAAATGTTCTTCGACATGTTATAATTTCGTAAATTGTAAGTAAAAAAGTTATAAGAAGGATGAGTTTCGTGATTGTTCTTTTCGTTAATTTCCTAGAAGAGTAATTTACTTAAATAATTATTTTATGATAGATTATGGAAAGATAAAATATTAAACAACATATATATATATATCAAATGAATGTTGATTATGTTTTTTTTGTTAAAGAATGGTGATTATGTTAAGTGTTAGGTTCGCTAGTATTACTCACACTTTTTGTTTCCACGACAAATTGTGCGATATGTATGTGAAAATCTAAAGACAACAAAGTTATTTTTGTAAAAAAAAAAGAGAGCAAAATATGCGATATTAAAATAAAAATATACATAAATAAAATTTATAAATAATATAATTTAAATCTATAGAAAAAACCAAAATCAAAATCAAATTATTGGACTACGAATCTTATACCAACAATGGTTGGTAACAGATAATAATCAATTTATCATTTTATGTTTCTTCTTTTAATTTTTCATTGTGACTTGCCGATGAATTTCTTTTCTTTTGTGGGTTATAAAAGTTTCAAAGCAAAATTTTCATAAAATATATTAATCCACAAGGATTTATATCTTTTAGACCTTTTATTGGCTTTGGTTTCAAATTTGCCACCCGTTAATAATTAAACACAAAAACATGTCATATTCAAATAAGAAAAAATAATTATATAACCAAATTGTTTCCCCTCTTACAATTTTAAATTCGAGGGTGACATCAGCCCATTTCAGGCATTATTTAATTCCTGAGTTTAGGGAAGTTTTAGCTCCCATCGTTATGGAGTCTATTTTATTGAAATAACAATTGCCTGTACAAAAAAAAATTGATTATAGTAGCTGTATTTATATTATATACATGCAAATTGAGCGTAATAAAAAAAGAATATTGGAAATTAAATAAAAACTCCGGTTCATGCGGATCACTTAGTTTTGGAAGACTTGCTCCACATGTGACCTCCCGACATGGACTTGGAAAAATCTACAAATTTTCTACAAAAATTTGGAGGATATATTATTGATTGTTTGGGTTATAAAATATTTTACAAAAACGCGTCATCAAATCATTGCGAGAAATAATGTCATCAATTTTCCCGTACGTATACAAGACAATAATGTACCGTTTTTTTAAATTTGTTTTTGGTTCCACGATTTATTCAACCCAAAAAAATGTACAAAATTAAATCTCATTTATAATCAGAATATATCATATTGTACAAATTAACATATTTGAAAAACGAAGAACGAAAAAAAAAATGTAATCTTAAAAAAAAAACAATTGGAGGAGCATGCTATCAACTTGCAGAGAGAAAATTCCCATGGACTGATTCTCTTTGAAAAATGATAATAAGGTTCGGTCCAACCGTTGCTTTTTTTTCCTTCGGAAAATGAATCTACTGATATAAAAAAAATCTAAAATCGATTTCGGCGTCTAATTAATTTCAAGTATCGAATGACCACATATTCAAATATTGGAGTATTGCATTTATAATAAAATTGTGTGTATACTATTATAGTTAAAAATAAAAAACCTTTGTCGGATTCAGACAGGGAAAAGAAATACTGTACACAAAACATTTTGGTTCTCCTTCAACTTGCAAGGAAGGAAAATGACATCAAACCATACATATGACATTATTTCGAAGAGAATATGACAATAAAAAAAAAGAACATATATACAAAAACAAATCTATCTAATTTATTTGATCTATAATACTAATCATATGATCTGACAACCTCTTGTTCTGAAACCCTCTCTTTTGCTCCGAAACTTCAAGTGAGAGTCTCCGGTTTCAGAAGATCAACAGATCCTCCTTGGTATTGTAATTCATCTTCTCCAAGTTCGGTTGGACCGCGAATTGGATCATCGGCGGTGGTCCACAAGCCAAGGCGAGAGCTAAACCGCCCGATCCATCGGGAATATGCTCCCGGAGAATCGCCTCGGTAATGAATCCGGTACTATATTCCCATCCATCTTTGGCCGATTCCACAACGTACCAAATCTTTACCCGATTCGGATACTTCTTGGACCAATCATCCAATTCCTCCCTCAGAAGAATATCGTCCTCGGTCCGATTAGCGTAAACCACGTACATCTCGGTATCATCCTCGGGATCCTTGAGAACCGCTTGCATAATTTGGTAAACAGGGGTTATACCGGTTCCACCAGCCAACATCGCCAATTTCTTAGCCGTCCTCGGTTTACCGTGAACCATGAAATCCCCCTTGCCGAGATACTCAATGTGACCCAATGGTCCCTTGATCTCCAAAGTGGATCCCACCGACAACGAGTCTAGATACTGCGACATGAGCCCACCGTTGGGGAATCTCGGATGGACTCCACCGAAGTAAATCTTGACCACTAGATCAAAGTATCCGACCACATCAACGGTGCTCGTTGGAGTGTAAGCTCTAAGGCAAAGCTTGTCGTCAATGTTGGCACACAAGAAGATATGTTTACCGACTGGTAAACCGAGAACCATGTCCTGAGCCGGAAAGGCAAACCGGAACAGGCGAACATCGTGCGAGATCGAGGTCTTTTCGACGAGTTTGACCGGGACTTTAACCCGGGGATTAACCAGAGCCACGTTCCGAACCGGAGCCGTCTCTCTGATCGGAGCCAAAAGCGATAACGTGTTCGAGGCACCGTGAACCGAGTTGTTGGGCGAGGACGAGTCAGACGAATAACCGGTCGTGATCAATTCCCCGATCCGGTAATCTTCCAACATCTTCTTGGCCTTGTCCGAGTGAATGGCATCGAACTCCTCCGTACAATCCGACCCTGCATTGATCAAGATCGAATCCGAACCGCCCGGATGATCCTTCAAGAACCTAGTACAGTCATAGACGTGTCCGTGGACGATGATCCAGCAAGACTCAGCCGAGTTATGCTTCTTGACTTCAGACATGGAGAACATTTTGGAAGCAGTGTTCATGAACGGGGAAGAGACGGATTTCTTGAGGGAAGGAGGAGCCTCGGAGGATTTCTCGAGGTGACGCTCCTTCGCCATCCAGCCTCCGCCCTCGTTTCCAGGCAAAGTCGGGTGCTCGAAAACGATACCGATCTCGCCCTTGTGCGGCTTGCAAACGTTCGTCTTCACCCTGAACCAGCAGTTGTTCATCATCCCCTGTTTTTATCAAACAGTAAACCATGAGTCATTACATCATTTTGTAACGTTATTATTCATTCGTGTAGGAATATAGTGCCTCTAACTTGACAAGGTCATGAGATTCCTTAAGACCACCTTTTCTATCTGACCAAAAACATTATATCATAATTTAAAAATCAAAAGATTCTAAAGAGATCAAGGTGGGTTTGGTGGGCACGAATATTTCCACGTGGCGAGCACCTATTGGTGCTCTATAACGACTCCTTTGACCAAAACGTTTGA